TCGGAATGTGATGTTATGTAATTTAATTCCAAACATTCTATCTCTTTCCGACAGTAATAGCAACACCTCCGTGCATATGTTTTACTACGACAGAATGAGCTGACTAGCCGAAAATTACGTATGCTATACAGGTCGATTTAGGTCGTTGCCCAGCCAATGTTGACATAGACAAGAATGTTTATTTTATTGTCATGGACGACCTTTGTTTAATTCCTCGGTTTTATTGGATAAACACTGAATATTCAGGGACATTATGTTGATCCAGTTTGACAATTTTTCTTTGTTTTTTCTCCCAGATGGAATAAAAAAACGGTCCACACAGACTCCTTTTGGCCAAACATCCGGAGATTTTATTCTTTCCAATTCTCTGCAACGGAGACCTTGAAGGAGGCATATGTTTCCGAATGTTTTGAAGCCATTTTCTCACATTCAATATTTTTGAAATTCTTTTCATTTAAATATTTTTTTTAGAGTTTCCGACGATGCTCCCGGTGCCCAGGGAAACACGGCAAGTGGGGCCTTCCTCACAACTCCCGCGAGTGTAGTGGTCACATTTGTTCCTTGATGGCCTTGTTTTTTTTTCGTTTCGGCGACTTCTTTTTCTGGACCACAAGTCCAATGTCATCGTCATTTGCTTTAATTGATTGTTGTTCAGCTTGGGCCGATTTAGTAGGCAGCTCCGTGTTGCCAACCGCATCTCGGAATGATTCGGTTCTCCGCTTGTCTAATTCCTTCAAAGCAGTTGCTACTGCAACACTCACGTGTTCCTTTGAGACCTTACTAGCATTGCCACTATTTTTATTGATAGATTTATGTTTAGGCTTCTTGGATGCTGCTTTCTCAGTATTACCATCAATACTGGGTGCAGCTGACGATACCTCTTTTTTCTTTTCATTTGGCTTTAATAATTGCAGCATCTTAATTTTTTCTTCAAGCTGCTGAATTATGTATTCCATGTCCTTTATTATTGTCGTCTATTATTGTATTTTTATCGATAATTGTTTGCGATAAGTGGTTTATAGTATCCATATGTTTGTCATTCGACACTTCACTGCTCACCTCACTGCACTGTATCAAATTTCCAACAATGAATTTGAAACCTTTTCTTGTTGCACAACTCACATGGTAAATTTTGCCACAGTTCTTACAAACCACCCACACTTGCAGATGGTTTTTTTTTCACAGCAGTTTGTAGGATTTTTTGGAATCCGATTCCGGAATAGTTTAATTGTGTCAGAGACATTACGACACTTCAAAAAACGCGTCCGCACGGTTCAACGGTTAACGAGCGAATATATATATATATATATATATATATATATATATATATATATATATATATATATATAAAGTAAACTTAGTGTTTTTTGTTCGAATTTGAAATATATTCTCGAAATATATATTTGCAACAAACTAGTCAAAATAAAAAGCAATAAATAATTTAATATTTATTATGTACTTTTTGACAGTGTATGTGTGCTGACATTCAACATGTTTAACTAATTAAAACTACAGAAACACAGCAAACAATTTTAAGTAAATGTTAAAAAAAAATATTTATTGCTTTTTATTTTGACTATTTTATATGACAATAATTCAATGTGATACCTTGTTTAACAGCTCCTTGAGCTGCTAAATTGAATGCTAATTCGCTTGAGTCAACTATATGATGACCACCGTCTATTAATATGAATTTGACACCAGCAATTCTGTGCCCAGATAATAAACCTTTTTCAGTCATTATTCGGAAACCTATTGGAATTAATATTGTTAGTAAAACAACAATGATATGAATTGTAATGATTGATTTATAAATACCCTTTTCTACACCAGGAACAAATTGTTTCGGCACGTTAGTTCCCACTGTTTTATCCACAAATTCAGTAGAAGTATTCTGATGTGAAGGTAATGGTTCAATGAGTCCTGTAACATGAGCATATTGTCCAGCACCCCCAGACTGTTTTTTGTGCAAGTAATCAAACTCACATGGAGCTACTAATGTTTCTCTGAAAGCTACTTTTGGTTTACCTAATATGAAATTTTTTTTTTTAGAAAACATTATAAATAAATATATTGGATTTTAAATTTATATGATAAAGTATTTTATTTTCATGTCACTAATTAACCAAACCAAGGAAACAAATATTAATTAAAAATAACCTATTGCTATTTAAATCTTGTTTGGATCATTGGATTAGTAAAAACTTTAGTTTATCATTATCTTGAAATATTCTAAATATGCTTAAAAATATCTGTAATTTAATATATATATATATATATAATATATATATATATATATATATATATACAGTAAACCCTCGCTTTACGCGGCAAGTGCGTACCGTGCAGTATGGGAACCGTGCTATAAGAAACTCGTATTTAACATACAATTCAGGCCAATTCGTAGTGCGTTCTATGGGACCTTACATAGTGCAGTATGGGATCCGTGCTATGAGAGACTCACAGTTGGTACAAATCGCACCATTTTTATCGCGCTGTATGGAGACCAAGAAATACAACAATTGAAGTAGGAGTAATACGGACGAAATGACATGTAGGGCATTGACACGATTGACACCTTATTCAAAAATTGGCGCGACGCAGTAGTCAGCTCAAACGTGTTCTTAGGCAGCTATTATATAAACAGGCATGCCTAAAAGATAAAAGTCAATAACAAAATTTACATCAATACCCTTTTGCACAACGAACTTATGGGCTGTTGACCAAATACCGTGTAATAAGAAGTCAGTGTAGTCGGAGGGATGTCGGATTTTTAGCTCCGTGTAGTATGGGAACCGTGTACCCAGAGTGCCGTGTAAAGCGAGGGCCTACTGTATATATATATATATATATATATATATATATATTGTTTATATCTGTAATTATTATATATATTTTGTTTTATTTCACAGTACATTCAGCTAATTTACAGGTAATGTAATTATATGATTTCAATTTTTGCTTAACACATTTATTAATTTCTAAAAATGTAAATGTATGCTAAAATGGGTTCTAAAAATGTATTTTATTTAAGTGTGGACATCAATCTTTACCAAAAACCAATCAACACAATTCCCAGCCAACTTTTGTGAGCTAAAACGTGGGCGATATGTTTTACATTTTTTTTTGCTAATTACAAAATAAAAGAAATGCTAATTACAAAAAGCCGATCGTCGCGCTAGTTAGTCTGACTGACCAACGCTAATTCTTTTCGTTTTCTGAGAAAACGTCGAAAAAAGGTCAAAAATCGGTTCAAATCGGTCCAACGAACGTATATTTTTTCTAAACTTGGTATCATTCGATTCAGAATGACATGAAACGTCAAAAAACAAAATTAGCAAATCGTATCTTTTGCAAACTTCTGCGGGAAGTTTAAAGTTTATCTGGTAATTAGAACTTATGCTTTTAACTTATAAATTTCCCATATATTTTGAAGACGGAATAATTATTTTTCAAAACAATAAAAATATTTTCCTCAAAATAACTCTTCTCAAATTTACATACCTAATAATACTGGGCATCCATATTCTCGTTCCATTCTTTGAGCATAAATTTCAAGATGAAGCTCACCCATTCCAGAAACAATTGTCTCTTTATTATCCGCATCATAATAAAACTGGAATGTGGGGTCTTCTTTAGTGAATCTAGCTATAGCTTTTGAAAAATTATCTCGATCTTTTGTATTTGCTGGTTTGATAGACATTGAAACAACTGGGTCAGGCACAAATATAGATTCCATTGATAGCTGATGTTTCATATCAGTAACAAAAGTATCTCCACTGGCACAATCAACACCAAACAAAGCAAAGATATCTCCAGCAAACACTTCATTGACATCTTCCATATTATTAGAATGCATTCTAACTAAACGCACAACTCGAACTTTTTTACCTGTACGAACATTGAATATGCTATCACCCTTTTTCAACATTCCTGTAATAAACCTTTGTTAATTATAAGTTCACAAAAAACTAATGCTTTTGAGGATGTTTAGTATACCTTGATAGCATCTCATGTAAGTGAGCTGTCCAAACCGTCCAGCCTCTAATTTAAATGCTAAAGAAATAAATGGATTTAAATCATTACGAGCTGGATTCATAATAACGGTTTCACATTCTTGATTGTTTTTTTCTTTTAATGCTATATTTTCAACCTCTCCTAAAAATGAAACAAGTAATATATGAGTAAAACTCAATAATACATATAAACATTCAGATTCAATACTGAACTGTAGTAGAATACATAATAAAGATATTTGGAATATATATGATCATACCTGGATTTGGTAAATATTGCAACACAGCATCCAATAGTGTTTGGACTCCTTTGTTTTTCAGTGCCGTACCCATTAAAACAGGAGTAAAAGTTCGTTTTAAGCATGATCTTCTAATGGCTCCCATAATATCTTCCTTTGTAGGAGTTTTTTCTTCTAAAAACAGTTCACCCAATTGTTCATCAACATTTGATAAATGCTCTATTAGTTCTTGTCGCTTTTCATCAGCTTCTGCTCTCAAATCATTAGGGATTTTATCAATTCTTATATTTTCCCCAAAATTTCCTTCAAAGTAAATAGCCTCCTGTGAAACTAAATCGATGATCCCCTTACATTCTGATTCTGTACCAATGGGTAGTTGAATTAATGCAGCATGATGATTTAACTTTGACCTGAGTTGTTTTAATACTCTTAGAGGATTAGCTCCAGTACGATCAAGTTTATTAATAAATGCCAAACAAGGTACATTATATCGTTTCATTTGCCGGTTAACGGTAAGTGTTTGTGATTGTACACCTCCGACAGCACATAAAACTAAAATAGCTCCATCAAGGACTCTCAAAGCTCTTTCCACTTCTACTGTAAAATCAACATGACCTGGTGTATCAATAATGTTTATATTGTGATCTTTCCAAATAGTGTAGGTTGCTGCAGACTGAATTGTGATGCCTCTAAAATAACAAAATAAAACGACAACTAAATAGCAATAGACTATGATTTTCTTATTATTAATAAATATGATATAGGCGGGTCGCGTGAATGAAAGTGCTTCTATAATGCTATCACGACTCGTTTTATTCAAATTTTCAATATCTAACTAAAGGTCTACACTCTAAGTAAGTGTAAATAACAGTTTTTATGAAATTTAAATATTCATCATATAGTTTTTACTATACGGAATTTAGTGCATTGATAATTGGCAATTAGCGGTTTCATTCAAGAACTAATTCTAACTAAGAATTATTCAAAACTTTAATGACAAAGTGTAAATAATAGGTTATACTAGATTTTAGTATAAATTTCTTTAGTTTTTACTGATGTTTGGTATATAAAACAAAGTGGCTGTCACAAAATTTTCAATGTAAATATATGTAAAAAAATGTCACAATGCTAAATATATTGCCAGAAAAATGTTCTAATAAGTTTTATTCAAAGTTTCATTATATACTAATACTAATAGAATCTTATACTAATTTATAAAAAAAATGTTTGGAATGAAAATTTTATGTTGTTTTAGAAATGTCCTAAAATTCCTAACTTTAGTATATTTAGTGTTTTGATAATTAGCAATATATAAATACTAAAATAAACAACAAACAACTAAATCAATTGAATCTAAATAAAAGATTCCAAGTTACTCTTTCAATTCCATGTGCAACCCAATTTTAAAGTTATTGGCACCAGTCCTCGAGAAGGGTATTTTTACAGCCTATAGTGTGTTAATCTATTTTTAGCACTGAATCAAATGAATAGGTCTCAAATACTTTTCATTTATAAAAATAAAGGCTAACTAGTTTAGAACCATACTATATTAATCAAGAAAAATCAAGTCATAAGCATGACAAGTTGCAAGATCGTATATTTCAAATGAATAATTTAAAATTACCTCTGCCGTTCAAGCTCCATAGAATCCATTGTAGCACCAACATTGTCTTTTCCTTTAACTTCATGCATTTCACTAATTCGCCCTGTGTAGAATAATATACGTTCTGTTAATGTAGTTTTTCCAGAATCGATATGTGCTGATATACCAATGTTTCTAATTTTTTCAAGGGCTTTATGACCCACCAGGGGTTTTGATGACATGAAGAGCACTTGCTAAAACAATAAAAGTAACAGGTTAAAGATAGTCATGCAAATAAAAATAGATTACTAATTAAACATTATAGTTTAAGGTTATAACCTAAAAAGTTTTCTCTGTAAGGATACACTTGCAAATGGATTTACAGTATGTACTATGTAATGAGTATTGAGCAAGAGAGTAACTTATTTTAATCGATATCAGCAAAATAAATTTGAATTAATAAATAACAGTAATACAACTTTAATAAAATTGCGAAATAAAACTCCGGCCTTTTGCATTTACCTCTTTGAAGACATTGAAAACTCTAAGAGTAGAACTATGCCTCATTACGTTTAATATCGTCATTTTGTTGAATTATAATTGATATCTAAAAACGTATCAAGTTAATAATTCGATATATAACATTAAAATAACCTTAACCTAAAACAACCCTTGCGCAACTCGAGCGATTATGACATTTAATGTCAGCCATTGTGTTTCGTTACTGGACTGTCAGCAGGCCGCCAACTATCAAAAATTTAAACCTATAATTTTATATTAAATCCATAGATAAAAGTTAAACTGTGAAACATAGATAAAAGATATGCTGTGAAACCATAGACCTTATACAATACAAAATGTATATAAGGTCTATGTGTGAAACCCATTCTAAATCCCTAGATAAACAAGTATAAACGATAGGTCCAAAACTGCAATCCAAACCAAAGACTAGTGCAAATTGCTGGAACTTCCCGTAACGTATATAATATTCTAGGAGTATAAAATGTTTCAAATAGTTTTTTTTATTTAATTTTCAATAGCAATCATAATCAGAGTACAGCACAATTCTATGAGCTATTTGGCTTATATCATTCACTTACACCCATACACACACACTTTCAAACAAACATATAAACTAGTTGAAAGTGACATTTAGCCTTAAGGCAAGTTTCACTAACTTTCCGAAATATGTAATAATTGACTTAATCAACTTAATCAAACTGAGTTTTAGATATTTAGATAAAATTTTTAACTATTTATTTCTAAAATACAGTTATCGACGTAAATCGACTCAAACCGTTTGAGAAAACGTCGATGAAAGGTCTAATTTTAGCAAACGTCAAAAAAGCGCTACTCATTTTTTCATTATTTTAACATTAAACTATTTGTCGTAGGACCTTAATATTTTAGTATGTTATATAAGACCATGATATCTATCGCCAAAAAAAGTTTCATAAAAACGACAAAAAAACACAACCGATCGTTGCGCAAACCTGATAAACGCTAGACCTCATCGAGGTACATTTGCTTTTACATTTGCGAAATCGGTCCAGCCGTTTTTAAGAAAACGTCGATTTACGGTAAAAAATCTGTTCACACTCACACACACATACTTTTAGAAAACAAAGATAGCAATTCGATTTTTTTATGAAAACAAACTTCTTCTTCGGGAAGTTAATTATTGTGATAAATATTATATCCAAAGTCGGAAAATCACTCCAATAAGTGATTCAACAATTCAGTACATATATACAAAGTTGTGGTAGTGCTAGAGGCCTAAAATATTATCATTGGATAGCTTCTTCTTCAGTCTTTAGTCTACGCTCTAGATTCTAGATGCAGGTATTTAACTTGGAATTGATTGGTCATAAAAATGCACTCCTGGACAGGATGTCTTGTTCAGTGTGAACGTTATATGGTTAGACTTGCTCTCATTTGATTTCATTCTCTACTTTTTTTCCAATCCTCTATAACATTCAGATGCCTTTGTTAAATTAACGAAGCCTTAGATGCATCAGCGTGTGTCGAAAGAATTGCTGTGTCATCAGCAAAGATTGCTGTTGTGGTTGATTAAAATGTTGGAAAATCACTAGTGAAGATAATATATAGAATTTTATTTGGATAGATTTATTGCCGATCAAAATAATACACATTTATATATACAAATGGCGCCAGAATATTGCCTTGCGAAACTCCTACCTCAATCTGATGAGATGTTAAAATTTCAGTATTGACACGTACTTTGAACTCTCTATTAGCGGAATAAAATTCCAGAATATATTATGATAACCACTTGGAAGTAGAAATCTAATCTTCGGTAAAAGTCCATGGTGCTCCACCTTATCAAAGATATCCAATGTATTATTGATGACTCTTACGATCTGTGGCGCTATTGAGTACTGGCTGCGAAAACCAGACTTGTTGAAGCAGAAGTTTTTCGAGCACTTTTGAGACAATTGTCAGACGGCTGATTGATCTATATAAAAAAAAACATATTAGGATCTTTTCCGCTTTATAGATCATTTCTACTATAGATGTTTTGTAAAGAGTTGGCCAACTTTCATTATTCTTATTTTATAGACAAAATATAAAAGCGTATGAATTAAACGACGACGTTTAGAGATGTTTACAGAAAAGTAAATTATCAGAACTTAATCAATCGGATTATTTTCGTAATTAAAAAAAAAACAAATATATGGATATTCGTAAAAAAAAATCACAAAAGCAATCGATTCGTTAGGTATACAAGTATGTCAAAATGTTCAGGAACCTTCAAAATAATAAAAAAAAAAAAAAAAATTGGAGAGTCTGCCCGCTGCGTATTTGAGTACGTTTGTTTAGATCACATACTATACCACATAATTAAAATAGTTAAATTTTTCTAAGTTTATGACTAAAATTGGAAAAACTATACGAGTGTATATGTGAACCAATTTTAAAGATTATAAAGTTTTAAAAGCTATTCGATGTACTTTGGTTAATTAGGATTGAAGTGTGTTAGGAATTGACTATTTAATAAAAATAAACCTCTATATAAATTATTTTAATAATATTTCTATGTACTCTAAATATATACAAATATAATGTGGGCAATCTAATTATTTTAAAACAGTCATATATTTGCTACTAATTACAAAATATATTAACTTATCTAATAATACGAGTATTACAACATTTTTATCTTATCGTATGTAGCGTTCGAAATAACAAATTTTTGGTGCTTAAACTATAATTTAGTTAATCGGTAACCAATTATTATAACATGTATTTTCTTATACAAAAATATAAAATTCAATAACTTAAATTTGAATGCAAACCTTTTGCATTCAAAATAAGTTCATAATACAGTTAAAGATTATAAACAATTTTTATAAATAATGCAAAATAATCATTAAAACATGAATGTGGTAAATAAATCACAAATAATTTGTATTTGAATTAAATAAATATTTTTTAAAGTAATTCCAATGTTTCTTAATCATTTTAAATGAAAACTCTTGAAAGAAAATTATCTCCTATGGAAATATAAAATCAAAAGCAGAATGTTATTTATTTAACATTTTTTAGAATAATAAATAATGTATTTATATTTGCATTTGTAAAAAGCTTTAAATTCTAATTTTAATACACAATTTATAATGTATAGATCTCGTAAAACCACATGAAATAAGGTGAACGAGATCTAAACAAGAAACTGATTGTTTTATTTTCAGAATTTGATTTTTAATTAATATTCAATTGGCTTATAAGATTTAAACTCATTATATACTGTTAGAAATCATCTTTGATAGCTTCTCCATAAAATACAATTTTCATTGAAAATTTATACTTTGCGACAAATTTTATATATATTCGACAGCTAATATTCTCAAACTCGCGACTTCAATTACTATAGTATATTAGCTGATTATGCTTGTGAAAGAATCAAATGGTCACTTTTGTATATCTTGAAAATGTTCTGATGAGACTCTAATGTAATTGATTAAACCGTTTTGCCCAAATAGCATCGTCCATATATTATGTTGATTTATGTGAAAATATTTTGGATTATTAAGATCGCTTACTTGTAATTATGGATATAAAAAACAAATATTCATAATCATGCAAAATAGTTACTAAATAGTTTGCAACTCTTTTAGACAAAGAATCGTAAACAATATTCGTATTTGATTAATGCTTTTAGCTAACCAAACAGCAGCTGCTAAGCAGCACAAACGATGTTATTCGAGACCTTTATCAAATCTAGCAGAAAAAAGTAGAAACAGCAATTTTGAAACATCGCTATTCTGTTGAGTTTGCGTCAAGTTATACTGAGTCATCATATAGGGATCTAAGCATTAATAGTCGCTAATACTAACAATTTATATATTGAAAAATTCAATTTTGTTTATCGACCTTGATACCGATCTTTTAAAGCCTATAATCTTGAAAGTATATCACTTAGAAGGTGGAGGTGCTGCTGTGTGATGGTGGCAACTCTCAACATTTTCGGGCCAGTCGCAAACGTTTTCGTTCGGGTTAAACACCAGTTGCGCCGGGCAAGGCATATGGTGTTTTCGTTCACCTTCGCACATATAATACATTGTGCAATCAGCTAAATCAGGATGATAGCTAATATGACCATCCTCCTCCTCGCAGCTAACTTGTTGGGCTGTAAAATATCAATCGATATGTCAGTAATGCAAACGAAGAAAATTATTTGAAGTATTTGCAATCAATTTTGAACTTAAACTAAAACACACAATATAATAAAATTATTGAATAAAAATTATTTTTTTATGATAATTTCAAATTATTCTTGGGATGTTAATGAAAAAATGTGTTATGCATTATATGATTTTATTATTATTTGAAACAAATTTTATCTTACGATCTTTGGTAGTATAAGCACCGCCTGGGCCTTGGCCTTTTGCTTCATATGGTCCATCATATTCTAGAGGTACACTGTAACCTTTCAATTCTCCATTTAGGGCTTTTAATAACGGATATTTGCCTGCACCGCATTGACCACGAAAATCGTCCATGTCTACAGACCAAACCATTATGCCACCAAAGCCTTCATCCTTTAACCACGACATCTAAAGAAAAATCAACAAAAGACAAGTTATTTTATCGTACATAGTACAGTACTTTTTTGCAATAATTTGATCCTCAATAAGAATTTGATACAAGGTAATTACATTACTATATATATATATATATATATATATATATATATATAACAATTAAAATCATCTCACCTTTGTTTTAAGACTTCTTTCATCATCAAACCCTACCCATTGATCCCCACGATATGCAAACGGTACTTGTTGTTCACTATCCCAAACTAATGTCGTATTATCCTCAGATAAAAAGCTACATACTTCGTAATAGCTTAAAAATCCTGCTTCCGTTGTGTATTTGCCTTCAACACCTGAATCAATGCAAGTATCGTTCAAAAATAGATTGAAGTTTCTCTTATAAAATTTATTTTTCTTGAAGACATATTTAGAAAATATTAAAAAATACCTCCATCAGATGCGGGTGCTCCAATATCAAATTGAGATTCATTTAGCAACGTGAAAGAACGTCCATAAGTTGGCATTCCTATTAATAACTTCTCTTTAGGAGCTCCTTGTTTCACCCATTCTCTAGCACTGAAGTCCTATTTAAAATAAGAATACGAATTCGTCAGCAAATTAAAGAATATGATTAAAAATTAAATCATTGCATCAGCATAAATGATATATTTTTCTAATGTTATTACCACAGTCAGTTTTTTCTGGTAACTAGTAGCGCTTTCCAAAGGATATAGAGGACTATTATGCCCAACAGTTCGTTCCCATTGGCCATGGAAATCATAGGTCATAACGTTGATAAAATCCAAATATTTAGATATCTTTCAATAAAATTATTAATTAGTAGATTGTGTTCAAAAATAGGTTTAATAATTTTAATCAATTATTTGTACAATACTTGATTGTATTTTTTTTTAAATTTACCTCTGGAACATCATAACCTGCAGCAATGGCTTCAAATGAAGCAGGTACCGCAGCAGTAAGCAATAATCTTGCCAATCCTGATGTTTTTGCTTCGCCTTCAAATGCTAATCGCAATTCTTTTAACAGATTTACATAAGCTGCCCGATCGTCTGCACCTCTAAATTGATTAGATTCAAAATTAAACAAAAACTATTTAATTTTGTTAAATAAGACAATATTTGGTTATCAACCTAGGGTATTCCCAGTCAACGTCAAGTCCATCAAATTGATAATCTCTCAAGAAATCGATTGCTTCATATACAAATTGATTCATTCTGAAAACGTTGGACGTTAATTCTTTAAACGGTGATGATCCAAATGCCCATCCTCCAATTGCCAAAAGCACCTAAACTCAAACCATTCAAATAAGTAATGTATAAACTATTAATTAAAGGAAAAAACTACATGCCTTCATGTCGGGATTCTTTTCCCGTAACTGAACAACAGATTCGTACATTTCGCCATCCTTTTCACTTCCTTCCGCAAGTAAATGATCTTTCAAGGTTGCAAATGCGTACACCAAATGCGTACAAAGTGAAGGATCTACATCAGCTGGCGAAAATTTACCTGCTCCTGGCCGTTTGCTTGACCAACTGGTCACATAACAAAATACTTGTCCTGGCCGAGCTAAAAAATCGTTGACTAATCATTTACCCTTTTTATATTTTGAATAGAAATATATCCTACATTTTTATATACTTACTATTTGTTTCGACTACTTGTTGCTTGCGTTTGTTGGTTTTCTTGACACGTTGCAAAAGTTCATTAGCATCAATTTTCTCTGGCGCGGGTTTCACTTTTGACACGACAGTTTCTTCTTCAAGTGGTCCTTGAAGGTCTTCTATTGATCCAGCTACTTTTGTCCAATCAACATCTTTTGCATCCTTTCCACGGGAAATACCCCGTAACTCTTCTCTAAAATGAGTTTGCAAACATAGATTTGAAAATATAACCATTAATCTAATAGTGCATATCATAGTTTAGATGAATCCTTTACCTCATTGCACCAATTAATGGATATTTCACATTACCGCCACAAATAGTTCCGCTAAAGTCATCCATATCAACAGTCCAGACCATGGCTCCTCCATAACCGCCATCCTTGATCCACTTCATTTTGTTACGAATTGATCTGTAAATTTAATACATATTATTTTGCTGCGTGTTACTGATACTATGTAAAAAAACGTAAAGTTTCAAAATAATTACCTCTCATCATCAAATCCTACCCATTGATCACCATCAACTAAATAAGGAACTTTCATTTCCTCATCCCAAATGTAAACAGCACCGTTATTTAACATTTCGCAAATCTATAATCATAGATATTAACAAATATTTTATTGCTATAACTATTTTATTTTGCAACTTAATGATATTAGTAATTACTTCGTAATAGGCAAGAAAACCTGCTTCTTTAGTATGTTCGCCTGCTTTACCACCTCCAGAAGCTGGTGAGTTTACAGTGAACTTTTCTGTATTTGCAAGAGTAAAAGTTCTTCCATATGTAGGCATACCTAACGTAGATTTCAAAATTATAAGTTTTAAATTCAATATTATATGCAGTTTTACAATATTTTATATGCTATTTAATGTTACTAAACAATTATGAAAATATTTTGTGCAAAGCTAAAAAAATTGAATTTAAAAATTAATCTTAAATTTCGTGATTTGAAAAGTGTGATTTGATCATGATATCACTTAACGTTTTTGATATCTGCACAATTCATTGCCCTTAATGATTTATTTTGATATCAAAAGTGGTATATTTTAATTGATCTGTAAACCAATTAAAAAGTGGTAAAAAATTGATAGAAATCCAGTGCAATTTTTATATGTACATATAAATAGCGAATGATTTTTCCATATTCACTTTAAATATAATTAATACTATTATTGTTTGTTATTCAACAAAATAAATTATCGCAATTAATTTTTTTTAGTTAAAATAATTAACTTTGTTAAAATAAAGATTAACTTTATTACCTATGATAAGTTTTTCACGGGGTGCTCCCAATTTGACCCACATATTGGCCGCATTGTCGACACTCAATTGTCGTCTCCAAGCCGAATCTGAGGAGGGTGAATACAATGGTGCATTGTGTCCTGTCTCGCGCTCCCATTTACCGTGAAAGTCATAGGCCATCAGATTTATAAAGTCTAGATAACTGAGCGAATAAAATAAATATTAATTGTAAAATGTAGAGATGATTGCAATCATTAGTATTTAAAATGCACTATCTTTCGTCATTTCGATTATTGCCCTATAGACGCGTTAAAAAGGTACAGACAGCGTGGAAGCAGATTCAATGTTTTATTTTTAGTTTATAATTTTACAAAATGATAATTCATGAGTACATTCTTTATAAAGATCACACTGTGCATAATCTTGATCTAGTATTTCGACAGAATAATTAATCAAAAGAGTTGGAAAAGCTAATAATAAAATTGCCTTTTTAAACTTAATATACTATTTTTTCATAGTCTATACTATTTTTTTATAGTCTCTTTGTCAGTGAAAAGATTTAGTTGATCCTTTTTACCTAACCCACATATAAGCTTTTATAAAAGTTATATAAAACAAAACTTTTGAATCTAACTAAAAGCGATTATACAACTTATAAAACAATTAAGTAACGCATACTTATATTCAGGCATCATAAACTATATAAATGAGCTGAAAACTAAAAATCTAATGAAGAAAGAAAAAGCTTTTGCTATGAATATTGATACATGGCGGTTTTTCATCCCCTCATAGCGACGTTGTAAGAGTTAAGGTGATGGCTGGTTATTCATCTTTTGGGTTCGAAAGATATCAGATTGAAATTCTTTCTGGTAAAGTTCGGCCGGGCCGTTTCGAGGCAATTAATTGAAGTTTTTCAAATGAGCACTTATTGCCTAAACTGATTGTGTATATGTCACAATAATTAATTATTGTTTACCTAGCTACTGCCGGTACATCGTATCCACTTTTTACGTTGTCTGGGCCGACTGGGACGGCGGCTGTTAGTAGCAACCGCGGTTTTCGAATTTCTTGAGCTTCTGCTTCGAAAGCTTCACGTAGTTCTGTTATAATAAATAATATTTATATATATTTTCTTCTTCATTGTATATGCATTTTTTCATATCTTTTTACGTATATTATCCTACAGTATACTTTAATCTATATTAAACATGCAACAAACAAAAACATATTTTATATAATTTTCCTAGATTTAAAAAATATTATATTATTTTACACAATTAATTAAATTAGTTTTACTGAATGAGAGAGCACATAAATGCCAACTAGTGGTGCATGGCATCGTGCCTTATGGCAAATTGCTGGTACTTTCCGTACTTTAAGAAATATTCGAGAAATGTTAGATATTTTCAAATAGATTATTAGAAATGATGTAACTTTCATTATTCTTATTTTGTAAAAAGAAAATAAACAAAACTCAACCAATCGGATTTCCAATGATGAACATTGTCTAGTATTTCTAAGTATTATATGAACTGAATTGCAAAGTTAAAATTATAAGTGATGTTTAAAACTTTAGCTAGAATTAAAATTAAAATCCGAATTGTTTTTTGATATTTAAAAACAAGCAGAAAGTTTTTTGAATTATTCAAATCGGATGCTTAGTTCACTCAAAACTGCCATTTTCATACATTTAGCTCTAAATCTCCGAAACGGCTGGACCTGACTTTCCCAAAATCTAATCACCACTTTGCCCCATCACTATGAATGAAATGTTTTCTGAATCATTCAAATCGGTTGATTCTCTTAAAAACTGATATTTTTACCTGTCTTAAAACTAATTAGCACGTCTCTTTATCAATAGGAATCGATTGTTTTTTGAATCATTCGAATCGGTTAATCCGTAGGCCCGAAATCGTCAACAGAAAATTACTATAACTTATACTACGGGAAGTTAAAAATATAAGCTCTATACTTGCATAAACTGCCAGAATAAACGTATTAACTATGACGTGAACTTTTCAAATGTAGCCTACATAAATTTGATCCTGTCTTCATTGGTATAAAAAATTTGTTACATTTTTTACATATATCATCATACAATATAATATGTGATTTATGTAATATGCAACAACTTTAATTATAATCGAAACAGATTTTTAGATATGTAAACATATTACAGTATTTTACATAATAGAATGAATTCTTTGAACATATCAAGTTTTACGTCAATAGATAAGATAAATATTTAGAATAATTTTTAATGCCATTTAAAAAATTGTAAAAATTAATCAATTGTCTATTATATATTCATTTCGACTACCAGTTTTCTCAGACATTGTGACATGTTTCATATATTAATCGACTAAATTATAAAAAAGCTTGCTGGAGCAACAATCGCGCAGCATTACCAGTCTGCTGATAGACTATATAAGTATATAAAAGACATTCGATACAATAAATAATTAAACGATTTGCACTTGATAAAAATCACTAAAAACCATATCAAACGACGAAAGACTTTAAAATTTGCCGACCAGACCAATACGATACGATACAATGATACGATACGATTTGCTTCCTGTTGCACAAATAATAACGACTTAATAACAATTTCTGCATTCAAAAGATAAATAATTGATTGATCGTAAAATTTATTGTAATGCAATATTTTCGTCATAAGGACGAATAAGTATAAAATTTTAATGGATTTGGTACAATGTTGCCGGAGAAAGGCAAGATGTATCTGAAGTATTCATTATATAAAATTTATTCTACTTAAGTAAGAAATGTTTATTGAAATTTTTTTTCAGTGCGTTATTTGAGGCTTTTTTGGCCTGGCAATTACAAGGTATTGCTAACTTTGCCTTAGACAACCTGATAGCAAGCTGTTATCAGTTTCTAGTTCAAAATGCACTTGGAAATGTATTGTACTTGTACAGCTGTGATATAATAATCACTTCACAAGGAGAATGAACAAACACTGGGTTGTCTTCTAATAATCTTAAGTTATAGAAATAGTTCTGATTACTATTCATAAAATAAAAGAATGATTGTTTTACACTATATTACATTATATTATTTTTTTAATTTGAGGTTCCTTCTGTGACCTTACAGTATTTGTTCTAAATCATGCATACTCTTACTAAAATCGATCAGACACCAATTAAACCTAGTTTATTTTTGATAAAAAAATGTCATATTAGATTCATAATTATATCTTGTAACGGATCAATAAATAGAAAGGTAATGTATATAAGACATAAATGCAAGTGTAATTTATCAATAAACAAGTGCACAAGTGAAATTTCAATTAAGTTTCTTGTGTACATAGATTTGATACAATGTTTTTGTATGCAGAGAACAGTATTTTTCTTCTGTATTATTTAAAAAAAAATGCAATTGAAATTGTAAAAGTTAATCATCAAAAATCAATTAGAAATGTAAATAGCTAAATCGTTTTTTTAAATATGTCAAGAAGGTATATAATTGTTTTACGTCAAAGACATTTCAATAGCTTTCCAATTTAATAATCGAAGGCTTTAGAAAGTTTGGTACTTAATGTCAAACTTGTATATTTTTTCATAGTATTATTGTGGATTGTTTGTGATTAAATTAGCTTTGATAGACCTGTAACATGCAGAAATTTGAAAATTGTAGAATAGAAGGTTTAAATTATCGCAACAAATTATTTTGGAAAGGTTTGTTTGGATGATTTATTTTTGCAGTATCAAATTTTAGTCAAGATATAAAAAAATGATTAAGTAATATGTAAATAAATCAAAGATTTCATAGCTCATTTCATTTTCAAGTTATGTGTAATATTAAAACATCAAGATTTATTATTTTAAAATTAATCATTATATACACCGAAATATAAGTTTTGTTTGTAATCATGTTTCTTATAAAAGAAAATTACATCCAACTGTAACTTTAACATGTGGAATCATTTTTTTTATCCCAATTCAAACTCTTAAAAATATCTTATATATTAATTAAAAAAAGCTTTAATAATAACTAACACATTCTAAGTAAATTGTGATAAAAATTCTGAGATTTGATTGTATTTACCAAATAGATAAATTAAATTCGATAAATTACTGTAGAACATATAGAATTCAATTAGAAATTGGACAGCGCTATTCTTACTAAATTTCTCATTATATCCTATAATTAATTACAGGTTTCTTATTTTCTATTAGATTCTGATGTCAGTCGCCTCAAAATTGTAATTAATTCTCGATTCACGATTAACAATTCAGATATTTAATTTAAGGCTTTACTTGCAATAAGACTATTATTTTTTACTATTGACATTTCCCTTCAGAGAATGCCAACTGCTTGATGTCATACAGATAATGATTACTTGTATTTTATCTCTTTGGAGTCGATCTAGCATATTTGATTTTTTTAAATAATATGCGATAATACAATGTGCACATGAAAAATATGATTGGCCAAAATTTAATATTTTAATAAGCTAAAGATTTATCCGATTACAAATGTTTCAGATACCATGATTCTCGGTTCTCCATAAATGACTTCCTGGGTGTTCTGGATTTTAAATATTGTACAATTTTGTCAATACACGAATATCAAAATAAGAACAAAACTCACGTACGATCATTTGCAAAAGGATTCAGCGGTTCAAGGTTGATTATTTGTCTTTATATATTATGTAGGAAATGGCAGTACGTTTGCCGAATAACAATGAATGGGCTTTATCGTTTAGATTATATGCAAATAGCCAGTATAAAGTCTTTTATTATTAAGATACCGAGATGGATGAGCAATTGTTACGATTTTGTTTGTTTTATATGCAAAACATTACGGCATTAGTTTATTGTTGTTCCATGGTATCCGCCCGCGAATTATTGTAGAAGGAAATTTAATTTATTTTTGCATACCTCAAAGTGTAATGGTTGTTATTATTGTGGAGCTTTCTCTTAAATACGATATGATACTTACACTTCATATACATACACACATATATATATAAAATATAGGAAAATTGGCAATACATGCAAACAAGTATGCTAATTATAAAAATTATGAAACTCTTTGTTACCATACGTTTCTACATATAATTTTGTCACCGTCAGTGGAACTATAAACTAAACTGTAAAAAAAAAATTCTAACGATAAGTATAATTTGCATAGAAAGATTTGTATAAGCATGATACTGATTATGTTAAAATATCATTTGATTTCTTTGTTTCTGCTGACTGTTATATCTAATTCAATTAAAATATCTAATATATTTCATTCTACTGTGTGATTTTAAATTTGTTACCATTTTCATTAAACGACAAATCATCTTACATTGCAATATTGGAACATATTATAGAGTGAAGAAATATTTATTTATTTTGTGTATATGTATGTACATTTAAACAAATGTAAAATATTAATTTAACTTCCCCAGAAATTTGATATTGTAAACTGTGCTTTGTGAAATCCGACAAAAATAGAGAACAAAAAGTTTATTAATCGCAAGCTCATGAAATCGAATATTCTTATAATGTTGAAGATATCCAATTACCGATAATTGTATCGATTTACATTTTTTTCTTTAATATAATATTCAACGTATATAAAAACTACATTTTGAAATACATTGGATTATTTTCAGCTTATTATAATATTTATGATATATAATATAGGTAAATGTCCAACCTATCACATATTCCCAACAATAAAAACCTGTTATCGTCAGAAATGTGTTTGCAATATGTTTAAGTAATATCCTTGATTTCAAAACTTATCAAACAGTATAAGAAATATTTATGTTCAGTATGAGTACAGATACTTATTAACTATATCGTCTTTACATCATCTTTTGAATATTTATATACGCGAATATACAATTTAAAAGTCAGGTATAAGCAACATTAATTTCACTTGAGAATCATAAATAGTTTTTGAAATTCAAAGAATGTAGACTAGTCCTGAAGGTTATATACACACTTGATATACTAAAGGAGATCCATATCATCATCAATTGTTGATGGTTTACTTGGATAAGTATTTCAATTTAGAGATGCAAATTCAGTATGATTACATATTTCAATATATGAATACAAAAATATATAACAATACATTT